CGCACTGCCAAGGAATGTAGTATCCGTACTGCCTTCTAGCCTCCCGTAGGAACGTGGCGTCAAAACACCGGTTTTAACGGTGACATGAAGTCCCTCCCCAGCCGACTTTAACACCACTAGCCGTGGGTCCAGCCATGTTGCCAAGAAGACAACCCATCGTCTTCAAGTCGAGTAAAGTATAGCCGTGCAATGATGGGAAGCATATACTTTGTTCTCCACGAAAGGTCAGAGGGTGCATTTTTAAACCGAAGTCGCATCGTGAGCCCAACGTAATATCCGCGTACCACAACATGGCCTTCCCCCTTAAGACAGTACACTCCATCCCTTGACGTGCAGCCGTGATAATAGTAATATCGCCGAAAGATAGCCTATTGCTTTCATCAGTGCACTTGAAGGTGACAAATCCTAAATGATCATTTTACATTGAGGTATTCCCAATACCATTCCATTGTTGCTTGCAAATAACTTTGTATCCATGCGATCCAGTATGTGCTGCTGCTGCTTCATTGTAAGGCTCGTTAATTAAGTGGTCCTGCATTGTAGATCCAACACCATACATACCATTGAACCAACGTACAGCGTCCTTGCTTTAAGATCAATATCTTGCTACTGCCAACAGGTACCATCATCCAACAAGTCGATCTATCATGAACACAATGTGAGATACCAATGAAAACCAATCTAAACGCGCTTTCTTGCCAACATACCCAAAAGAGGCAGTGTAAAGAAGTGTTGTTGTGGACAACTTGGGAATGAATACACGCGACGCCTCCATTAGATCTTGTAAACGAGAGAACAGCAATCTACACACGAGCTTCAGTACCACAATGTCAAACTTGAATAGCAAAAGCGCTGCAGCGATTGACCGTACCTGTTGTATGGAAATGGAAGCTTGAAACATGGGTAGATTGCGCGCGTGCTTGTTGTAGATGAAAGAGTCACCATTGGCCACCGGTTCACCCATCTACGTCTTGCATTAAAGAGCATGTCAGGGGTTAATGCGCTGTAGTTCGTTAATGGAGTGTGTCTCACCTTGTTTTTGTAAAATGGGAGTGGAGAAGGTGGGGTGGAATCTTTTTGGTTCCTCTCGTCGTCCTTGATACAGCCATCTCGCTTCCCACAGTTCCTCTTGTGAATATGCACACCTGTATACCTCGATAAGTATGGATAAAGTACTAGTCCCTCGTTATGTATCTCTATGGAAAAAGTGGTACCAACCTTGGTTTTATGCAGCTAACAAACTCCTGAACTTGGAACATCCAATGTGTAATCCTGCATCCAATGTGGACCTAGAAATACTCAAATATGGTATGCGTGTATAAAGCAATTATCCCTGCCATCATGGATAGCTTTCTCATCAATCGATAGCTTGTGTATGAAGAACTAACATTGCCCAAGATTATCATCACCATCCGTTTGTGCAACCTGTCAACAACATGTGTAACCTATTCATCTTCCCCGTCAGTCCGACTCCTCTTACACTGCATGACAACGTATATCCTAAACGAATTAATAGTTGGCGGGAGAATAAAAGCTACACTTTCTTAAAATACCACCATTAGGGAAATGTGTTATTGGGTCATCTGCTCTCATCCATATGCAAAGACATGCAATGATGATCATCCATTGATCATTGGTGTTTCTTCAAACGCAATAATATCTAAGGTTCTAGCGTATGTCTAACGCCAAGGAGCTCTTCAAATAAGTGTATAGGGCTCCATTGTTTACAGCATGTCCAGTAATTACATCAAGGGGACCACTTTATCAGTTCGAACAATCATGACAACAATACTCACGCCCCCGACTCACATATAAACAAGGCTGCTGTCACCAGCACTATTATACGCCCTTTCTTTCTACTTGTATGCATATCATCATCAATTGTCTTTGGTAAGTCACATAGTAGCCTTTATGTGATTCAAAATGAGGGTACTTATGCATTCATCTATGTAGCTCACTTCATTGCTTTACCACTTGAAGTGCTCATTGCTGCCTAATAATGACATTTGGCTTTGCTCCTTGATGGATCCTTTATGGTAGGTATAACTAGGTAAAAGGCAACCGCAAGCTACATGCAATTCTTGGCGTTTTGGACTTGCATTGGATATAGAATACAACATCTTTATTTACATGGGGCATCCTATATTAATCTTGAGCAGCAGAAGCAGTAAAGTGGGCATCAAGGAAGAAAGCTATTGAGATGCAGAGGACAATGGCATGTCACTGATTCACTTGAGTAATATCTTTGTCACGTGGATATGGAGAATCAACCATTGGATGAGTGACTACAGCAGCAACATCACCAGGATGAAGTACGCCGTTGATGGATGTGAAGCATGTTTTATCGATCCTTTTTTGGGGGGACGATCCTTGTATATGAGAAGAAGGTTCAACGAAGTATTGGCAATGTAAATATTGTCAAGACGTACTGCGTAGATGACTCGAGCTGGAAACATTTGCTAACGCTGTCAACTTGGCCCTGACATAGAATACACTTTACCAGCACCGCTCTATTCATATGGGTCGCTTACTTGATTACTGGTTACATGGCATTACACAACCGATTTAGCCCAATGTTAATAAAAGCAACAATGGTGAACAAACTACATTATCTGAAAAAAGGCATGAGGATTGGCTGATGTTTGACATGAAGGTTATATATGGGGTGACGCCATTATTGATCAAGAGTACAACATCGATCAGATGAGCTGCATAATCAAGACGATGAAGGAATTGTGTCGTTCATATACAAGGATGAGGCACGAGAACGATGTACATGAATGCAAAAGAAGGATAGAATAAGGCAAGTGATATCAGAATGGTAGTAAAAATGGATATAGGTCAAAGCAAATTGGCTTATTGATTACATGCGAATGTTACAGATAGCTCATTTCTCTCGAATGCAATTAACGAAGGCACAAAGCAGCATGTGTTAAGACAATGTCTTTAATTCATAGAGTCACTAGATCGATTGCTATTAGTACTGGTGGTACTCTGAAGCTGGTTGTTAACACAATAAGTGGGTACATGGGTGATTCAAGCGAGCACCTATCATTTGATATAAGCAGGCTGGTAAGGTATCATTCAAGGGTTCAGAGCATCTAGGCTTGCATCATGCCCTGGTACGTATATGGATTGTGGGATACAACATACAACAGCGAGCGGTGTTGTGAGTCAAATCACAAGCAATACTTGTTTATGACCAAAGAGAGAAAGATAAGGGGCGCGAGAAGGAAAAAACGACAAAGATCAATGAATACTGCAGCCCTAAATGATGCATTATCAGCAAAAGACGCAGCGAATCCAACGTCATCGTAGGGAGCAGCAGCAGTGACTCGATCGTCGTCCACAAATCAACATTCACCTTCTTCATCATCCGAACATCGATAGAGAGCATCCACTTCACCAAGTCATTGATTCTCTTAATCGAGTTCTTCATCTTCATGTTCATGGTCACGATGTCGTTGTTTACAATCACCCCAAATTGAATCATCCATATACGATAGACTCATATTTTGTGCTGCTTTATTACTTTATTTTCTATCCCTATTCACCACCCAGACCTCTTCAAACTTCTTGTAAACCTCTTGTAAACCTCTTGTAAACCTCTTGTAAACCTCTTGTAAACCTCTTGTAAACCTCATGCAGACCTGTTGTAAACATCTTGAAGACCTCCGTAGACCACTTCAAACGACATGCAGACCTATTGTAAGCCTCTTGAAGACCTCCGTAGACCTCTTCAAACCTCATGCAGACGTCTTGAAAACCTCTTGAAGACTTCCGTAGACCTCTTCAGACCTCTTGTAAACCTCTTCAGACCTCCGTAGACCTCTTCAGACCTCATACATACCTGTTGTAGACCTCTTGAAGACCTCTGTAGACCTCTTCAAACCTCTTCAGACCTCTTCAGACCTCTTCGGATCACATACAGACCTCTGCAGACTTCTTGTAGACCTCTTTAAATCTCTTCGGACCTCTTGTAGACTCCTTCAGACCTCTTCGAACCTCTTGTAAACCTCCCGGATCACATACAACAGACCTCAGCAGACCTCTTCAAATCTCTTGTAAACCTCTTGTAGACCTCAGACAGACCTCTTCAGACCTCATAGACCTCTTCAAGCCTCTTGTAGACCCCTTCAAACCTCTTTTAGACCTCTGTAACCCTCTTTTGATCTCATACAGACCTTCCCAGACCTCTTGTTAATCTCTTGAAGACCTCTTATAAACCTCTTCAGACTCTCGGATCACATACAGACCTCAGCAGACCTCATACAGACCTCTTGTAAACCTCTTGAAGACCTCTGGAGACCTCTGGAGACCTCTGGAGACCTCTGGAGACCTCTTCAGACCTCATGCAGACCTGTTGTAAACCTCTTGTAGACCTCATGCAGACCTCTCCAACCCTCTTGTAGACCTGTTGTGAACCTCTTGAAGACCTCCGTAGACCTGTTGTAAACCTCTTCAAGTCTCTTGTAGACCCCTTCAGATCTCTTCAACCCTCTTGGAGACCTCATCATACCTCTTCGGATCTCATACAGACCTCTCCAGACTCTTCAAACCTCTTCAGACCTCTTGTAAAAGCAAAATGATCACCACATGAAAGAATGACTGTCAAACGCACACGACTAAAATCCAGCCATGCATACTAATGTGCCTGTATGGATCGCTTCGATGGTGAGCGCGCGAAAATCATCACAACACACTGTGCATGCACGTCCAAACCATAATAGTTGCACCAATGTTGACACCTTTCGCGTCAATGATCATAACAGCCTATTCATGATCACTAATCAACCACTGCCACAAAGCTATGATTTTGAAAATGCCAAGTCTAAGCACTTCAATTCTGTTATATCAAATAGACAAGATGCGTAAAGAGTGACCCTACACTAATGCGAGAATGGTGCGTAAATAGTGGATGGTGTGCGGTGGATGAATGACAGACATGGAATATTATAATGCTGTAAAGGCTTTGGTGTTGAAAAGGGAGGTGAAAACAGCTATCGTGATTCCTGTTGGCTGATGATTGAGTGATAATTTTCTGAATTGCGTTTGAGAATCTCGAGCACAGGTCCCAGCAATCGTGTAAATGCTTTTTTGCCAAGGCTGGCACATTTGAGACGGTTCTGTGCAACCACTGTAGCGACACGTGGAGCATCATTAAGCAGTGCAAGTTCTATAAAGATGTAAGCACGTTGTCCCACGTGACGTGCGTATGGGAAAAAAAGCATTTACCTCCAAAATAGTTGCCCCGGGACAATGTATTGACTTGTTGCTGGTCATTATCTGACCCACGGCGATAGACAGCGGCATCACCAGATTCAATAATGTAAAAACGATCGCCTACATCACCTTCACAAACAACTTGATGACCAGGCTCAAAGTAAACTGTATCAAGAGCATCGGCAATTTTGTGTCGTTCGTATTCCTCGAGCGATTTTAGCAGAGGTACTTCTTCTAGGAATGACTCGTACATGCGGCGTTTGCGAGACGTGTTTTCCATTAAAATAGTACGAAAGGTGACACGGTCCAAAGCCCATAGAATAGCATCCGATGTTGCAATAATGGTGGCTGCACGTGGAGCATTGTACATTAGAGCCAACTCGCCAAAGCTGCCACCTGCTTCATAACTTGTCACCTTTGCTGGTGGTGCACCTCCTTTGCTTATAAGACAATCCAACGTGCCTTGCTCCACCACATAAAAGTAGTCGCCTACAGCACCTTGTTCAATGACTACATCACCGTTTGCCACATGTTTTTCAGCCATAGCATCCACCACGTCCTCATACTGCTCCTCGTCCAAGTTGCGGAATAAAAAGTTGTTGCCCACACTCGAACGAATGCGTTCACGTTGGCTATCTGACTTTGGAATAACTTGCTTAACATAATCATTGCCTTGAGTTGGTGCCATTGATTCTGCACTGACAGAGGTACGTCGATCACGGCTGTAATTGTTGCCTGCAGCTGGGGGTATTCCGGCAAGTGGTTCGGGGGCAAAATCATCATGCAATTCCTCGTCATAATCCTCTTCATCGTCTTGATCACTATCCATCAAATGATCTTGTGTCCTAGTAACTTCTAGCTTCTCATCACCAACGCTGTCGTCTGCTGCAAACAAAGGATGACATTCATCCACGCCAGCTGCTGTATATTAGTGTCTCTGCCACCACTGACCAATGTTCCTTTTCTTACCTTGCACATGACCTTGCTGTTCTCGGAATAAAACCCGCTGTTCCTGAAGTTTACGGTTGAAAAAGTTGGCACAGTACTGCAGCACATCTTTTGGCTCATCCCGACAATAGTCGGCATGTAGCTCAGTCAATAACTGCGTGTACTCATCTGAGTTGGCAAAGGTGAAATTACTGTCCAACGTCATATGCTTGCGTCAAAATAGTGGAGTAAAGGTGAGGGGAAAGGTTGAATATATATGCGTGTGTGTGAACAAGGAAAAGAGAGGAAGAGAGCGAAGGATAAAGCAATCAAAGTGTATGTGAGCGTGTGTGGGAGAAGCTGGCTCAAGCGTACGCACGCCTTTGCTCTAAAAGGGTAAGGCATTGTGCAACCTTTGTCCATACAAGGATATAAGACGATCATTGTTGCATAGCACCCTGCTTATTGATCTCGTGCTGCATTACTTAACTACGTCTATTGCCATAACTCAATATAAATGCCTCCATCATTCACTCTTTTCTCCTCGTTTTGAAATGTTCTCTAATTCTATTACCCATTGTGCTGTGCTGCTGCTACTACTCCTTCGTATCTATATAATAACAGCATCGTACTATATAATGATGGGCTGGATCCATTCTTTGATGCTCCATTTATCCTCTGTATTATTGTATTGTAATCTTTTTGAGCAAATACGCATGTTTCATATTACTGGCATGTTTGTCACACAAAATGATAACGACGCATTCGAAATACTGTCTAAATTTCTACCCGCTTTAATCCTTTTGCAAGTATTTACATGGGTGACAACATCAAGCTATTAGATCGTGAACGGCTCTGCGTTTCTGCTAACTTTTCAATATGCTCTTCCATAGCATTAACTTTTTGGATAAGTGATTGTGTCAATTCTTCTAGCTTTTCAAGACGTTCACCATCATCATCCTCGTTTTGGTGCAGGCATAAGGCTCTGTTGATGGGGAAGAAGCTGTAGTTGGCTTCCTTGAGACACTCAGAAACGTACGATTCTGGGCCAGTATATTCCGTACGGTCCTTATTTTTCAGGTGCACCATAAAGAACAAATACTGCCTGTAAATTGATATGTAAATATGGGTTGCATCTTCTCTTCGTGATGATTCCTTACCATATATTGTGATCATGTTTGACATGGTTATCAAATCCTTTTTTCGCATGACGTTGGAATTCAACAGAGGGTATGCTGCAGATGAAGCATGCTGATGAAATCTTGCATTAGCTAACCTATCATTCATACACCTCTCCCACCACTTACAATCTTTCATGTCATGCTGCACAGCAGAGCGCTCTAAATAAATCAATCAATTCTCTTTTTTTTCTTCGAGCATATGACATCAAAGTATACTTACCGTCACGAAGATGACCGAACGTATCAAAAATAATACCAAAGATAGCATTTAACAAGAATACGACAACCAGCAAAAAGAAGGACATTTCAAATGCCGTACGCCATCCACGGGGTTCTTCTGCTGCATCTGGCTCGAGAATATCACCAATACCTCCTCCTGACCGCACACTATGTTTATCTCTCAGCGAAATGTTCAAGGAAAACCATACGACTCCAAGATCACACATACCCATGAGATAGTACAGTGACAAAACACTTTGTTAGTGTAGAGCAATGAAGTCCTTTGGTCATATCAAATTCAAAGCGGAAGAACATATAGGCGATCACACTATGAATGTATACCACAATAATAGCAAGCAAGCCCTACAATCAATCGTACAGTTAAATACTGTGATACCAAATGAAACATTGATATAGCATACCGTTCTCGTGATAGAATTCACATTCAGCGTAATACTGGCAATGACACCTTGCAAAATACGATCACGGAATGCAAAATCCAAAAGATGCACCGAATAGAAACCTGGATTATATAATCCAAACACAGAAAAAACGAGCATGATCAAATGGTAAAGGAACGAGTGCTCACATAGACTCGCTACAATGAACCGTGTATCCATCTATTGTTACAATAATGGTCAGGTCACCATATCCCCATGCTATCGACGTGATATACTTGCCAGTCCACCCGTAGCCTGTGACAGCTTCCCTAGCAATGCCGACGTGATATTGCTGCTACTTCCACTGATACTCGTAGTGCTATTTGCCTGGCGAGCACCAGGTTGCATTATCACTGTGGAAGATACCTTGATCCCCGTATTGTGGCGGTTCACCAAAATTGGCAACTCGATAAAAAAGAATTCGGCCGTCGATAATGTCCAGAACAATAAATGAAAGGTACCCAACAGTAAACGGGCCATGTTCTTGAATCGACTGCAATAGGCGCTGGTCACCCCGTCAACAATGAGTATACTTTCGGAACAGCTGAGGATTAGCAGGTTGAGTAGTAGCGTTACGCCATACGACGCACGCCACCACCATGTACTGTAGCCCGTCAAGAATGAAAGGTATTGGCTGCGTGCTACCTTAGCATGGTTCTCGATTCTATATGCGCATGTATGTGATGAGAAATCTGTTTTCATGACCATATGTCCGACTTACTCATATATAATGTTGTCAGATAACTGTACAAAGTCCTCAATCTTGGCAGATGGGGAATCTCTAAATTTCGTATATACATTAATGTGTATAGTGATGATGGAAAAAGAATGTAATTACCGCTTTACGTTCCATAGGAAACGTTGCTTGGTATCTTCACGCAAGTACTTGCATACTTCAGGAATAGGAAACAGAACACGGGATAGCTGCTTCTCTTGATGGCTCTCCATGACAACCTCGATTTTCCCCGTATGGCTCTGGAAAAACTCAAAAGCACGATTACCGTCGAGCATAGTGCGCTGCGCCGTCATCCATGAGTTCAATATTTCGTAAGTACCTTTTTCACCTTAACTTACTTGGTTTTCATCAAGTGCAGGCCAGAGCGTCATTAGTAGAATACAATATTGAAACCCACTGTTGAGTTTCTCATAGGCGTGCGGCGCATTGATCTGATCGGCATTCTTGTCGTAGATGGCGTTCATATTATGCACAATCACCGACAAATCCAGAGAGCCTGACATTTCTCGAAAAATGGATTCGCTGTTTTCGATACCGCCCTCCAGTAAACTTAGCAGACATGTCACCACTTTGCTCTAAGTAAGCTGTAAGTACACAACGTATGCATGTGAGAACCCTTCACAACTCACCTTGAGCTCCTCAATGAGTGTGCTAGGACAATTGGTATAGCGTTCACGCAAAATGGTGTTGGCAGGATTCAAAATTTTGCCTGCAAAGATGGTCCGCTAAAAACCCGTTGTTGTAAGCAAGGTGAAACTTTGGCGCTTTCTCCATATATCGTACCTGGTTTTCAACGCAGCCTTGAGCCAATTCTGTGATTGTATCCAAGACCTGGATAATTAGACGCACGTTTTGAATGTTGCATATCGGGACAATCGTATGTAGATACTCGACTACATCCTGCACGATATTGAAACTCTTGATATTGTCAGGCTGGCGAGCCAAGTACAGTTGCAAGTTGATATTGTGACCTTCGACCATCAACTGTAATGCGCGCATCGTATCCTTCATGCCCTGAAAATCTTCGCTTGTGGTTCCAAATTCAGCTGTCTCACTCGCCATCAAGTTCGATATCTTCTGATACACCATAGGTGATGATTCAGCATTCTTGCTCACTTGGTGGTGATGACCTAGGAGCCGTTTACGCATATGCATCCGAGTCACGTCAAGCGAAGATCGATGACGTTGATGCTGACGTTTCTTTTTGTTGGTCGCTTGCTGTTCTTGCTGTTGCTGTTGTTTACGGCGGCTACTGACAGCAGCAGGTATCATGCTTTCCATACCATTAGGCCTTTTAGTCGGTAAATTGGATCCTAAAATTGATTGCTGGCGATTCATTTTGTATGCAGCACGAAGCAAATGTTGTTGTGCTTCCTTGAGAGATGCAATACCGCTCTGCAGGCGATGATGAAACGAATAAAAGAATCGCTCCTCTCTAAATTGAAAACTTAGATATATCAATTACGAACAAATTTGACATACCTAATACTGTAGAAATAGTCCTCCAGATTGTCCTATAAGGGCACATCTATTAGCATGTACTTTTAGCAACCTTTTTTTTACGTACCTGAACATTCTTATTGCCACCTTCGAGTAATGCAATCAGCAATTTCAAAGCAGCCTCAAAGATTTGTCGTCGTGGAGAGGACAGTAGATTCTGGGCAACCAGTGTACAGCCAAGCCTGTTCAAAGTATTTTGTGCATGGATCTTTTTCTTCTCAAGTATTTCGTATTGTACGGGATCATCGGAATGTGAAATAGAAGATCGTTCCCTGATGTATTGAAGTGGTATCTCTTCCAGGAGATTGATAGTCGCGACTTGATATTCTTCCCGGGGATCATGATGCTTGACATTGGTGGTCATGGATAAGTATTCAACAAGCGATTTGACATCCTGGTCAGAGCCTCGCGATGACAAGTTAAAATGGGAACCTGTAACAGCATGAGGTTAATATTCTGACATGCAAAATCAATAAACGATATCCTACCTAATTGTTTAAACTCAGTCTGCATAAGCGATTTGACATCTTTGTGTGCCGTCAATGCACGAATAAAGCCTTGGAATTTGGCATTCATTGAATCCAGTGGTCGCACTGAAGCCTTCGTTTGGTTGGTGAGTTCTACCATAGCTGCACGCAATCGGCTTCGCAGCTCAGTGGGGTCGATTACAGTACCGTGGAATCCGGCGACGTTAATCATACTATCCAGACAAGCAAGCGTGGTTTGCAACCTCTTTCGACCCGTGTCATCATCGTTGCCACTGCATCCAGGTACCGTCATTAACTCCACTGCCTTATCAATCAACCGAGGACATAGTACGCATAACATTTCATCCACTGTCATCTCAACAGACAGCGAGTGCTCAAACAGCGGGCGTAAAAACACAAGAATCCCATTGTAAACGTACTCAGTCTCCATATCGTTGCGCTCTGTGCTGCGTACAAAATCGGACATTTCATCGTAGCTCCACTGCATCAAAGCGCGAATACACTGGTCGTCGCTGTTTGATATGTGGGATAGTACATCAGGATTGTCGAGATAGGTCGAGGCAAGGAATCGTAGCATGGAAGCTTTGAGTGATAGATGCACATCATCATCCTTGATAATGATGAAAACGTCATGAATGCAAAATATAGTACGAGCAAACTAAAGGACATTGTACAAAAGTCAGCATGCATGAGTCCGAGAAGGAGCATGGAATATCACGTCCAAAAGAAAAAGAGACTTACTGATTGCCCAAATGCATTATCTCCTTGGCCACAAACAGCCAATAGATCAACCAATGCCACATAATAGTCATTATACTGCTTGCTGGCAACAAGTTCACTCGGTGATTTGAAAGGCACATAGAATTCCCGATTATCCATAATCAGTCGCATAACACAATCCTGGTGCTTTTTAAGAAGTTTTCCTTGAGCCTTGATAAGTGCAGTGAGGAGATGCAGGTATTCACTCTGTATGCCATGTGATTGTTCAAGGATTCTTTTGATGTGCCTCTCCTTAATACGTATACTAATGTATAAATTGTTTCCAAAGATATTGTACAGCGACCGGGCTAATGTAGGGTGTATTCCTCCAATATCGAGAAGCAAGTCCACATTAGAAAGCACCAACTGACTCTATAGCATACCCATCAGTAACATAGAGGAATACACCATGAAATATTTATGTTACCTGCAAATCCTTATCCTGCTTGATCAATTCTTGCAAAAACTCGAGGCATGTTTTGAGAACATTGATACGCACCATCTCATGATCGTTGTTATAATCCTCGTCAGACCCATCAAGCGATGATGGCACGGATGATGCCGAGCCTGCATGTTTCTTGTCAACCGCTTTTAGACTGAGCAATAACTCGATGACAATGGCGTGGGCATTCAGGTTGGTAAATATTTTGCTGTACACATTACGTTGACTGGCGTCACTATCCTCAAGATCCACCATAGTACCATCATAGTCAATTGTCTTGCCACGGAATAGATCAATAAAGTCGTAAAGAATGTGATCAATGCTCTGTAACTGGTTGGGTTCCAACTGCTCTCCGCCAAATAACAGGGACCGTAATTGAGTCAATCGTTTCTTCACACCATGGTAAACAAAGACTTGCTGAGGTTGGCTCAAAAGCAAAACCTGTGGTGCCTTATTGAACATGTCTATTATTCATATACGTAAGTAAAATCCCGCCTAACGCTATCATGTGATATATGTATATACCTTCAGAGTCATTGTAGATTCTATGCATGACAATGGCTGCAATCCGCTTTAAAGGAGCATACTTATACTTTAAGATATCCTTGAGAATTGGCATCAAGCTGTTTTCTCGTTGCCGTAACATCGTATCCTGGAAAATCTGTGTCAACACAAGTCGTGGCGAATGCTGTAGCTGATTATCGACTTGGCTACATGCACATGGATATAATTAGAGCATGAAGATATGTTAACCAGGACACCATACTCACGTCTCCATGTTCTTCCACTTGAAAGCTAGCTTGTTCATACGCACGCGAAGTCGTAAGTCGTATATGAGATCAAAGATTTCTAAAATCAGAATCTTGGTATTCATTACAGGCTGGGTCTCTTCGGTAAGGTTAAATCGCTCTTTCCTTAAATTATGATGTGTGTTAGAACATTGCTTTCTCAGCTTCATACAGCAGCATACCAACGACGTGCCGCGTCCGATTTGATTGATTTGAGATGTTCCTCGTTCCTAAAACGGATAATACTATTAATCCAATTTCTGCCACCTACGAAATTTCTCCATACCTTGCGTCTGTACGCCCATCCAAAACAAGAATTAAGGCTCGAAAAAGCCGTTTCATATCGCCTGCGTCAGTAAAGAACCCAAGTCGCAATTGTGTTTGCACCATCTTGAGAGTGGAACCAAGAAATTCAACTTCATCTCGATTCGCTGTAAACTACAAGAAGACATCATATCAATTAATCGAGAGATATAATAATTATGCTGCTAGTTTACCTGATGGCATTTGTCATCTAGAAACACCAATAGCCAATGCTTTAGCCGTTCAAAAAACTTGGGAGTATCACTCTCGGAGTGACCGATACCACAGCCTGGATAATCATCTGAGTCATCAAGTTTCTCATACTCCATGGAAAAGTCCGAGAGAATAACATTGCTGAATGGTTGGACATCAATATAAAGTACTGAATATGATAGTAACTTAGAGTTAGCATACTACAAAGACGTGAACTTATTGCCCATTACCTCTCAAAAGGTCACAAAACTTCGCTCGAATGCGATCAGGTAATGTGATATCTCCAAGGCACTTGAGACAAATATCCTTAGGAATACACTGTCGAGCATAATCCACTACTTTAGGGGTAGCGCCAAGTGATACTGAACATATCAGCTGCAGGATGCTGTGTAACATGTTCGACAATGCTGGCTTATCCATTACTAAATCGGTCAAGCTATGCCAGGCTTCATCATCTTGGTCCAGGATGCGTACTCGCACTCTTCCATCTTCCATACGTGTTTCCAAGAGAAATGATGGATCAAATACGCGGGTTGCAATGTAGTTATGATGTTGTGTGAGAGCGTCATTTCGACAAAGAGTGCTCAAGAGTTCAATACTGCTAGCAGCTTCATACTGGTCCTCATCGCCACTCCAATCGCCCATCATGCGACGTGACTTGTCAAAGGCTTGATCGATTAAAATACCCACTGTATTGTGTTGAGGTCGCATGTTACACAGAAAATCGACAATGCCCGAATTATTGGAGATCAAACGCACCAAAAGGTCAGTCGCACCAACTCCACATGTAAGATGGCGCATAAACAGCTCCACCCCTGTATCACCAGCAACATGGATCACGTGCCATTGGTTTTCTACCACATTGCTTGGGTCGTTGTAATCATCGTCTTCGCCACCGCTAATCAGAAACACACGTAGCAGATTGTAGCAAAGTGAGACTATTGATTTGAGGTGCGGCTCACTATTGTCCAATAAGCCTCCGACAGAAACAGCGTGTTCGGTTTGATGTTGAGGCTGGTGACTGGGACCACATTGAAGAGATGCACGTGTCTCATATCGCTTGGATAGATCGAATGGAACGCGGATCATGGCAATAATAGTTTCAATGATCCCAATATCGCGTAATAATGATTGATGGTCTATATAAACAAGGTTTAATATACATATATATACATATACATTATCGAGTACATGTTCCTTATTTACATTTAATAGGCAAGCCATTACGCAATGCTGGATCAAGCTCACGGCTGTCAGTGCAAAATTCAATGAGTATTTGCTACGAATAATATGATATCGATTAATCTTGATATGTAATTGAAAAATGTGTTTGCACCATACCAGGATATCAGTGATCAGAATGTGCTCTTCGTCTGATATAGGGAATCGGCTACTGATCGTGTCATCTGAAACAGGTCTGCTTTGCATTAAAAAGCATTGCAATTGTGGAAGCAGTTCATTGACAATATTAAATGTATCCGAGAGTTGATTGTCTACAAGGGTGATGGAGAAGCAGTCGTGATAGTGAAATTCTTGCGAAGCCGATATCTTGGATATTGGAGAACCGGTTGCCGAGGTTGAGGATTGTATCTGATCATCTGCAGATGAAGAATCGGTGGAGAAGAATCGGGTTGGTTGCTGTTGCTGTTGTTGTTGATGCTGCTGTGAGAGTGATGGTTGACTATTATTGGTTGTATCCGTAGGATCCGGAGTTAAGGTAAGTGCAACAGGAGTAGGTGAAAGTGACGATGATCTCAGCTCAGTTTCTGTGGCAGCATGCATCCAACATTTTGTCAGAACGTGTTGAATACGGACATAAGAACCAAATGGGACACCTGATCGAGAGGGATCCGAGACAGGTACAAATTTGAAAAGAGTACCATCGTTGCCATCGATACAGCGTGGATTTCTTATAAGACGAAAAGAATAGGAGATCTTCTGTGTATTCATGTCGATGCTAACACTGTTGGGATCAATATGAAGATATGCACGTGACGCAGCATGTCGAATACGAATAGGCTTCTTCCATTGAATTTTTGATCCATCAGAAGGGTTCACGTTCTCAATCTAGATTGCATGAAATAAGCACATAGTCTGGTTACACAATTAACACATGCTTTTTTTACCTCCCAAAATGCCAATGGCGAATCACTCTCTTTGGGATCAAGTGGATTAATGATATGCTTACGTAAACGCACACCATGTTTGTCCCTGATTAAGGACATACATATTAGTGATTGAACCCATTCATTGCGATTGATAATATCTTACCTCTGCAAAACAGGAGATTCCAAATAGGCTTCCATTTCTTTATGATAGAATCGGATGTATTGAGCAGAATTGATGTACTTTGCAGCTTCCGGATCATGACCAGCACGTGCGGATCGATGACATCGAAACGTCCAAGATGCGATTCGAGTATGTGTATAAACCTCATAATAGTCCGTATTAAAGGCGGATGAATGCAGTACTCGTGATCCAACATTAAGAAATCCCTCAGGACGAAGGCATTGTAAAGCCACCGTATCACCCAGTCGTACAGGTTCACCATCCACACGAATTCGATAGCGTGGCACAATACGAAAGTATCCAACAACTTCATTCGAGAGATTGACTTGCAAGTGGGAAGCATCCGAACGGCATGGTTTACCAGTCACTGTCAGGTACTTTTTAAAATGAGCATTGTACAACTGCACCACCTCGCCATACAAGACCGCATTGCCATGCACACGCCGCCGCTCGGTCTCGTTCTGTGCTCGTTCCTTGGCTGCTTTGGCTTCCAGCACACTTAATTCAATAAGCTCATCAGGTGATCCTTCATAATACAAGCTGTCTCGTTCATCCTCGCTTCCAATAAATTGTTCCAAAGCACGTCGCTCCGAGTAGGATTGTTGTGGTTCAATACGAAAAATGCGCGTTCCAATAGCTTCCAAAGGCAGTGTTTGATCTTGTTGTTGTCGTTGCTGCTCGGTTAACAATGGTGCTCCCACTCGTCGGGCACAGGCTCTCGTCTCGAGTGGATCTTCCACACTTAGTGCATTGCCATCCTCGTCGAAGAAACAAATCTCATCGCCAAGACACAGAAACTGCTCCTTGCTTCTTGCCATTGATAATATAGTCAACAGCCGACAGCAATAAAATGGAGAAAAGTAGAGTTTGGTGCAAACGAGATACCAAATATGGTGAATCTTTTTTTGGCATGTAAAGGCTCGTCGGCAAAATGGAACAAGGCGATGGTCACGTGATTATAAACTCCGTCAATACATCGAGCTGATGTTGGAAGTACAGTCATTTGCTATGGGCATGGGTATTTCTGTGATCATATAAAGGGAGAAGCTGGCTGAGACTAAAGAATGTGCTTGTGATGGATGTACAGGCCACTGCGATTTTACGAATTACATGATTGTGGCCGAGAGTTTGGGAATTGAGACCCTCTAAAGCATATGATGATAAAGTCATGATAATATACAGGCGATGGGATAAATCACAGGCATTGCTCGGTGTACGACATCCCTTCATCATTTTAGCACTTGACCCCGATATCCCTGAGATGCCCAATCACATCCTTTACATTGGAGCGCTCAGGCATGATTAGAAATGCACTCATCACTCTTGCAACTTACCCATCTGGCTGTATGCATTTGTGTTAGGCCCTATGGTGAAAGGAACGGCATGTAATCAGAGGCACGATACAACACGGATGTACAACGAGAGGAACGACATGTAATCGGAAGCACGATGGAGGAAATAATCAGTGCGAGGATTGTGGCACTTTACTAAACTTTGCACCTCCGACAAGTGTTGTTAAATGTCACTCACCTAGTTAATCCCTAAGCTACCTGCGTCCGTATCACGGATCCTCAAACTTGTATTCCGCTAATTTCTTTCCACTGTATGGGAAACTCTTCCAACGTCGACAACTTTTGTGGTGACCTTCAACTATAACACTACGTCGATAATGTCTGAAAAAAAATTATCGTCGAATATTACCGAATCGGCACAAGATGACAATAGCAGCGTTCTGCCATCTCCACCTCATCCAAAGATTTCAACCACACTTGACGAAGTTGACTTGCTCCTCCAACAAGACCCTAGGGATAAGGTGAGAGAATACGTTATCGCATTTATCCTCGCGATATTAATGCCAAGATGCCATATTATTTTAGGATCATATGTCACCTTTCTTGTCAAGCGAGGATGGTTTGGACAATAATGATAATGAATTTGCACACGTGACATGCGACCAAGTTGATGGTACCCGGGAGGGCAGGACTGAATAAGTGATGTTCATCAATTCATTGCAGTCAGTAGACCACATCTCAGCCTTTAAAGAAGACGAGTTTGTACGACAAGCGCTTGAGCAAGGCATGGATTTAAGAGAATATGCGCAACAGATTGAGCACGAACGCAGTGAAGTGCAGCGAGACATTGAAAATGATCGTAAGTGTCACCCATGCTGATGTACATGCTAGCGGCTGATAAAACTTTGATGGCGCTATTAGATACATTGCATCTTCATTCATTCCTCAATTTGCATTCTGAGATCCAAGTAAATTCATCATATCATATAACCAGCTAAAAGATTTCGGTTTGCTAATGTTCATATGTATAGTCATGTGATGATACTCTCAGACGGATGGAGGAGCTATTAAGTGTATTTCAGAGCGATCTTGGAAATATCAGCGGTGAAATTCGAAGTCTTCAAGAGCACTCTTCCCATATGAATATCAAACTCAAAAATCGGAAGGTACGTGTTATAACAACATGTCTAATTTAATATTCATCTTTTTCGGTAAGGCTGTGGAGAGCAAACTCGGTAAAGCGCTACAAGGAATGGTGATCTCGCCGGATAGCGTAAAGTACGTACAAAGTGTATGGTTTCTGCAGCTCATCCGATATTGAACAAGGGTTGATGGACACGTAGGAAAATCACAGAAGGCCAGATCGACGAAATGTGGCTGCAATACCTCTTAAGTGTGAATCGACAGATGCGTTTTGCGAAAGCCAACCAAAACAAGCCTATCAAAGCTTTACGCAACGTAGGACCCGAATTGGAGAAATTACGTCTGAAAGCTGCAGGGACAATCCGAGATTTCTTTATTGAAAGAATTCATGCGTTGCTTGTACCGAATACCAACGTCCAAATTATGCAACAATCGGTCTTTCTGAAGTACAAAGCGCTACATCAATTTGTGTTGGAACGTCACCAAGACGCAGCAACCGAGATACGGCAAACTTACATCAACGCATTACGTTGGTATTTTCATAACCATTTTGAACGATATAGCAAAGGCTTGAATAAGCTACAGGTAGTATGAGAATCTAAGATGATTTCCTTCATTGATATACTTTGTCAATAGACTATTACTGCCGATAAATCCGATCTTATCGGCGAAGAGCATGGGCGAAAAGGTAAGCTGAAAATAGTACGTTACAATAATAACCTAATTCATGTAGTAATAGGTGGATTATTCAGTGGCAGCAAGCTCTCCCTAAAAGATAAAGCCAACGTGTTCTCTTTGGGTGACCGTATCGAAGCGTTACGGATGCAAGACCAAGGCGTAATCTTGGTACATATAGCAGAGGATAAAGAGCAGGTAGGAAAATAGTTGTCAGTCTGTTTCTGTGCTTTGTTGCTAAACTTAGGAGTAGAGATATCAGTTTGAACAACTCTTTCGAAGTTTCAACCTTACCTTGATCGACAACGCAAGCTCAGAATACCTTTTCATTCATGAGTTCTTTTCTTCATGTGATACAAAAAAATCAGCTGACATTGCAAAGATGATGTTCCAAGAGATCTTCCAGCCTACAGAGAAGGTCGGAGAGGTAAGAGTATTGCTTGATTCACTTGCCTCCATTACTCATCTATTTGGCTGTGAAGGACTTTACCAAGAATTATATTGAAAACTCCTATGATGCCGTAGGTATTCTGCTCTGTATTCGTATCAATACACAGCTGGCTTTGGAATTACAACGACGACGAGTGCCGGCTCTAGAGAGATATACCAATTCAACGAATATGATCCTATGGCCACGGTTTCAACATGTCATGACACTTCATGTGGAAAGCTTGAAGCGCATGGCAAATACAAAGGCAATTTTGAATTCAATCAAGGATATCCATCCACACTATGTATGTATGTGCATGCAGCGTCGAAATTTCGCGTTCTCATTAATGCTTGGCATTAGATTACTAGACGATATGCCGAATTTGCAGCATCGCTTTTGGTTCTAAATGAAGGCTATGATGATGCCATATTGACTAATAGGTAAATCAAACAATTAGTTGTTGTATGCATCACTCGTTTACACTAAAATGATGTACTCCTTTTATTTATTCATAGCATTCATAAATTGAGGAACGAATTCGAGGGCTTACTATCTCGGATGGCCAATGAGTTTACTGAAGGTCCACGTCGGATAGCGTTCTTAATCAATAACTACGATGTGATTGCATCTGTGTTTCAGGTAACAGACGCCGTAGACTACTTTATCACTCAATCAAATACTTATCTAGTATTCCTTAGGAAACTCAAAACAGAGCATTGGAACATGAACTAGAACACGTTCAGCAACTTTTATCCTTGCATACGGGAGCATTTGTCGATGAACAGCTGAAACCGTACTTTGGGCAGATGATGGCGTGCGTCAAACTTAATGAACAATCAGATACGGTGATGCAGACGGAGACAGGCAAGAAACATCCAATATATTTGCCGAAGAGCTGTATTGACCCTACGATCACAATAGATGACTTGCAGAGGATCTCTCATCATTTTGCACAGACCTGGCGTCAATCCTTGACATCTATCAATGCTTCGGTTATTCAATATTTCTCGAACTTCAAGAATGGGACTGCAGTATTACACGCAGTGTTAGGTCAATTGATAGTCTACTACACCAAATTTTTGGATTTATTAGAACAGCGCGTTGTAGGCGGTGTGCAGCCAGTAGGAGTCCAAACGGTCATGGTAGAAATAAAGAAATTCCGGAACACTTTCTAAAAGCTGCGGTAGCGTTCATAGTTTGAGCTTTTACAGTTTCTTCTTGTGCATATGGACATAAGCATATAGAATTTACTAATGTAGTTGCTTTCATTATGCTAACAGCCAATTCCCTGTATTGCTACATATCCTCGGTCGACCACGCATGCGCTTCGACTGCCCGTGCTTGTTTCTGGTTTAAGTTTAATAGAAAATGGTCTTCAAAACCATTGGAGCGATCGACGCCGTCCCATCGATATCCAGGCTGAATCATATATCGATTTGGCTTCCATGAGCCTTTGTAAGTAGGGCGAACCAAATTTGTCGTCGACCGGCTTCGACTCTGTAAATACAACACATGTCAAGTTCATATTCATTACAAGATTGTCAGGTTTACCGTCAAGAATCCTGCAGCCGGATCATTCCATCGTTGCGTGTCTTTTAGCCCTTGATTGTATTCTAAATCATCCACGTATCTAATAATTCATTCCATGTGTTAATTCTTACGGCTGGTACCAACCAACGAATTGTGTGCATCATACTACGTCCGTTGAAGAAATAAACAGTTACCTGGCTAGCGGTTTGTCTTTCTCTTCTGCAAGTTGTTGCGACTTTTTTTGCACTTCGCTCCGTTGAACCAACCCTTTTCCCCATTCCATCCGCTGCTCTTCTTTTTCCATGGCATCCTTTCTCGCTTGTGCTTCTTTCGCCTTCTTAACTTTTGGATCGATGACACGACCAGTTTCATCACGACGAACTGTATCAGCAAAACGTCCTGAGTCTCCCTCTTTTAGTTTCTCGATCATGCGTTGCTCTGCAATCTTGGCCTTGATCGCTTCATGCTTGAGTTCTTCGCTTTTCAGTAAACCCGCTTTCTGTCCGCTCGTCATTTTTGGTCGAGAAGAGGATGCATCCTCCGTAACGATAACAGGTTGTTCATCTTCTAAATCCTCTTGGTCTTCTTCCCGTATCAACTGCCAACTGTCAACAGCTGTTGAGGGTATTCCTTTGTTGTAGCTGACACTGCCCGTAGAGTTGAAGTCACCCAGTTGATGTTGCTCACGTGGTCGTTTCTTCCTTTTGCCATCAGTTGTTGATTCCGTATTCTTCCAATCAGCAACATCTTCGTCGAAGATATCCAGATTTCCTTTCTGAATCATTGTTCTGGATTTCTTTTTCTTCTTCTGTAATTGACTGCTTGACGACGAAAGGTACTTTCGAGCAATGTAATCCTTGGTAGCTGCATCCCCTTGTCCTCTTGCGAGGTACTTTTGCTTGAAAATTGCGCTCTGCTCGTCCGAATCCATGTGTGCGCGTACCAGAACGAGTTTACACTTATTCAATCTTCCAAACTCCAGCAGAAGGGTAAGCTTTCTCCGACCCCGCGAAACTTGGAGCAGGCTATTGACACCGCCTTGCACACATTGGCCAGTTCTTTCAGGAATTATTCCCTCGAACCCCTCATCCCAGTCACCAAGCCAATGCCAAAGAGCACCTTATCTTTGGTGTCCGTGTGATCTGAACAATAACATTCTTTTAGTACGTTATGATCAAGTTCCTACACGTAAATAAAGTTGGTTCTATATAATGGCTATCTGCTGTTCACGTAAAAAAGCTGCAAGCAACTTGAGACAATGGAGTAAAGACCTTGGAGGCAGCTGCTATTACGCTTGGGCTGTGGCCCAGGAGAGTGCAAGAGAATTTGTAATATCAGAAAGGAGTGTGTTGTCGTAGGGTGCACACGTCATGGACTCGCCATTCAGTCGAAGGCAACAGTAGGATTGGCATGATGGGCCGAAGAAGGACAATCGTTTGCAAGAGGTGGTTGGGTCTTGGATAGTTGCACTTGAATAGGTCCAAACAGTTGAGATAACGGCCTGCGACGTTAGTACTGTTTGGATCGTCGTATCTATAAAAACAGATGATGCTAAGAAAATGCTTATCACTCTAGCACGTAATATTACCTTGCGTATTGCCACCCAGAACCAGTGCAGGGGTCGGCATAATTTCTCGCGAGACGAGATCTTGACGAGATCTTGCAGTCCTGTACCTCTTGATCACGAGACCTCTGGCATGTAATCTTCTATGGGTCTTTTGCTCTTTTCTCAGCATTCTACTTGTCAAACTACCTTCAAATTGAAAACTCGACTAGAAAACCACCCTTGTTCTACACCTTTCATTAGTTACCCAAGTTTATGAACCTCTTGAACACGTGATCTTTTTCACATAGACTTCTGTTACGCTTTTCTCCGCATTCTACACGTCAACCACCCTTCAAATTGAAAACTCAACTAGTAAAGCACCCTTGTTCTACAACTTTGGTTAGTGACACAAGTCGATCAGAGAAGATATGAAACATGCCCCTTTACCCCACACGAGCGAATTTTTTCTCTTTTTTTTTTTTTTTTTGTATTTAAGTGTTGACTTTATTAATCAGAAGGT